CAATAAATGAGGATCAGTATTGGATGGTGCCTTTTGTTTTACACTTATACATGCTAGAAGGTTCTATTGTGGAGAAAATCAGGTAAGGGAGAGACATATTTCATTTGTGTTTTCTTGCAGGCAACAAAAACACACTGACAGATGAAATTTGTTAAAGCAGGATTTTGATGGCATCTCTGCTTCAGTCTACTGTCTTCAAAATCCCTTAACTTAATGAACATGTCCTTTTGGTTTGATGCTTGGGCTTCCAGGTTTTCAGACCAAAGTTGAGATGTTTCAAGGTGTCTTTCAATTATACACATACACACACACATATATATATATAATATTAATATTTATGTAAAAAATCAAATCCATTTAGATGTTGTATCCCCAACTCTGAAGTTTCTTGGTGTCAACCATTCTTCAGGCAGTTCTGTAGTTAAATGTGTGTGTCTGTATATATGTGTGTGAGAGAGAGGGGAGAGAGAGAATAGTGAATCAATATATATGTCGCCTAAAGCATAGTTAATAGTTATTAACTGAATTTTCATTTGTTTTTTCGTTTTTTTCAATTTTTATCATTTAACTATGTGATTAATCCCTAAATGAATTAAGTATATTGACAAGGAAGGAATTTATATTTAAAAATAAATACTAATGATTTTTTTTTCAGGTTACGGAGTTATTAGTGTATGCGTGTATATATATATATATATATACACACACACACACACACACACACAGATGGTGAGATTCTGTTTAGTGTCAAAGTGTTGATAATAACAGTAAATCTATCAAAAACTATTTCCTTAATAGATATCTGAGACATATTCTTTGCTCTCTGATTGGCTATTAGATGTTGGTACTTAAGTAAATAAAAAAAAAGATAGATGGAGGTGAGTGTGTGGGCGTGTGTCTGTGTGTATAGAAACATTAGAATCTCAATCAATACAAGCAATCTATTTCAGCTGCTGTTTAATAAACTTTCTTGTGTATAAATTCCTTGCAGCAACAAAGACTAATGTCACTCTCCACATTTAAACTGACACCAATTTAGCAGTTATAAATCCAGAGTTACAAAAACCTGATTCCATACATTTTTGGCTCCTGAAATCCTGCCTCCTTTTAGAAATCCAAGAATTTCAAAATATAGCACTTATCATAATACAGGAATGGAAATTCATTGATGTAATGATGAAACTATTTAAGAATTGAAAGGAATATTCAATTCTCAACTTCTCAAAGATGTACTGGCATCAGGAAGAAATTTTTTATGCCATATTCCTTAAAGAGTATGGATACGTCATAAGAGCAACCAATCTTACCATTACCATCCTACAAGGTACCACTTTAGGCAAAAGAAGAAGAGACAGGAAAACAACAGGATGGAAGATCGTTCAGAGAGACTCCGCCATTGGCAAGTAACCAAGAATGAACTGGTCAAGATTTCAGTGACCCTACAATCACACCCATCATGGGAGAGATGATGATGAAAATTATCAAATTAAAAAAAGTAAACTCCACAGTACTTCTGATATGCTAGTAAAATACAAAACTCAACTGCTGAAACACTGATAAAAAGACAACAAAGATAAGAATAATTGTTTAAACGAAAGTGACTTTTATAGAAACACATCTTGTCACAACTTTGAATAATAATAATTATTAGAATAAAACAATTGCTTATTATTTTAGTTGATTGTCTATATTTATGAAAGTTAAAATGGTGTGGTCATGTCATCAGAACCAATGATCTTTTCACTACCATTCTACTAGGTATGTCTTCACATAAAAGAAATACAGGGAAAAATGGGCTGACAATGTCACTGAATAGAGTGGAATATAATTCACAGAGGCTTGGATACTGGCTGACTATATCACTAAATGGAATGGGAGATAATTCAGAGAGGCTGCAACTGAGATATGTAGAGTGAGAGTGTCTGTCTTGTCTGGTTTTTGCATGTCTGCATGTTGAGAGCACTCTGCCAACTGAGAAAAAACTGGTGTTATATAGCTCTATATATATCTCTCTCAGTCCCAGACCTACATTGACTTCTTTTTTCTTTTTTTTAAGCATTTCACCCCAAGCAAGGCGGGAAGCCACTAGGACGCAAGGGGTTAGAGAAAGTTTAGAGCAAGATCAGATAGGAGTGATAGAAGAAAGGATGAGGGTAGTGGATAGATCAAGGCAACTGGAGATGTCGATTGACATTAATGGAAAATTAAATGTCTTTGGCTAGATGCAAAGGTGTCTTGTCAGTATTCTAATGATGTTGTGACCGTATCTTTTTGCTTCATATATTGTCTGAACTTGGAATTGTTCTAGCCGTTTCTTTCTCCTGTTCTAAATCTTATTGAAAGCATATCTCCCTAGCCCACTATTTGGTGAGGGCGGAGGATTGGCCGTTGATCCCCCCCCCACCAAGTCAACGCTTGGACATAAGGTAAGCCGTACATTCAGTTACCATCATGAGGAAGAAGGCAGACAACCACTTGCTGCCCCGTGTGAGTATAGTTTCGCTCTAGCAGAAACCCATTTACATTTTTCTTTGTTTTTTAAATTTATCTATTTTTTTTTATATTGGTTAATACCTGCCCGCCATCGTTCATATGCAAATAGTCAGTGCCACCTACTCTAAGTAGAATGCCTTCTCTCAACAGCCCATTGTGAAAGGGGACGGAACTCCTGGTGCTGACAGCACCACATGCAACCAGCTTGGAGTGACTTATCAGGTTGACCTGATTCTCTGTTACAGGGCGATGGTCATGTGCTCAGCTATGAAGCATTGTGCAAGGCAAAAGAAGAACAGGCAGAAAAAGAAAAATGTGCTGACAATGTCACTGAATGGACTGGGAGATGATTCACAGAGACATGTGAATGAAACTGGTCAGGTGCTCAGCTATGAAATGATCCTATGACCATGTGACCAATGATAATAAATATATATATGGAAATCTTCACAACCACTACTACTACTACATGGTTAGTGTCAAGCCAATTTTGGATGACATTATCTTTTTGTGAAATTGCCGATCTACAAAGTTGAATGAAGAATAAATCTAATCAATAAAATCAAGAATCTATTTCAATCAGTCTTGGCCATATTTTTGGAAGAGGAGTTTTTTTTGTAAGAAAACATCAAAGCTGTTTGGTGAGGATTTTTCAATGCTGCACAAATTAAATTTTTCAATATGCCAATAAATTTTGCCCCAGATTCAGAAAATTAAGAAAAAAAATATTCTGAGATAACTGTTGATTAAAGGATTCAAATTTATTTTTAAAAAACCTGCAGATTTCACTCAATCATCAAAAACTAGCAACTGAGTTTTAGAATAATTTTCAAGAATACATTTTGAAATATTTTCTTTCACTGGAAATTTTAAAAAATGAAATAAAAACTGAAGGTTTCTTCATTAAATCTTTTACTCTTTGATCTAAGCAGGTGAGCTGGAAAGAAGGCTTTGTAAATATATTTTCCAGAAAAGAAAATGGTGCTTTCTTTTTTTTTGTGATGAAAAATGGAGGGTAAAATGGCCAGAACATAATAAACACAAAGAGAGGACAATAAAAGAACGGGATTTTAACTGACAGTTTAGTGCTTTAAGCCTCCATCAGACCAATTTGCATGTCAGAGAGAATGATAACAGTTTTCTTTAATCCTTTCACTCACCCCACCCCCAGCAAGGCAATAAAGCTGCTAAGACACAAGGAATAACTGAGTGTTAAAGAATATCAGAAAAATCATTATTAAGGAGCAAGAACAATAAAAGAAGATTTAAGGAGACAGATGATTGATGTTCCATTTAAATCTTTGACTGTCCTAATTGACAGGAAAGCAAGAAGTCAGAAGAGAATTCCACAGGTGAGAAGTGTGAGATAAGAAACTTTTAGAATAGAATTTACGTAACTGTAAATTCTATTCTAAAAGTTTCTTATCTGGCTGGCAATATAATACTATGATTAAATTGATGCCATCAAGTTACCAAAGCAGAATGCTCATCAGAACAATTGCCATGAAAATATTCAGATGTTCAGTAAGAAGTTACTGCCATCAATGTGACATTGTAGTCCCTTCATGCGATATTCAAAATTTGGTCATTATCAACAGGCTCTGTCTGATTGCTTATTTAAAAATATTTTTCTTCAGTTGGAAATTTTAAAAATATGAAATAAAAACTGACAGTTTCTTCATTAAATCTTTTACTCTTTGATCTAAGCACAACTAGGAAGGAAGTTTTGTAAATAGGTACAACGGCTGCAACATACAATATATACTTGAGGATGGTCTTTTACACCAAAATGTTAATAAAATCATGGGTGTAACCTATCCACTCGAGAGAATCTGAAGTAGACTGTGGCATATCACTAGTCCAGGATACGAGTATCTTGGACTTTAGCAAGAGCAAGGAGAAAATGTCACCTCTTCTTTTACACATCAAATAAAAGCAATCAATCTGCACTGCTCATATTTACCAATTGTTATCTGATTTTTTTAACAAATATTAATTATATTTATCTTAAAAACAGGCATTATAGTGCAACCTACCTGCAAGACAATCACAAATACCCAGTTTGTCAACCCCAAAATAAAGGTGCGACTTTTCTGCAAATATATACAGTAATAACTACAACAACAACAAAAAACTATAGTCTGCATGTAAATAATATAAATAATAATTTCTATTAAGTACAATGTCAAATAGGTGCCTGGACAAAGTCAAGCTTAGGAAAAGAAAACAGAAGAGGTTTATGTTCTTTCCCAAACCCTTTCTCTTGCAATCAATTCTGATGTGCATGATTTTAGAATTTCTTTGTCTGATAAGCATCAATCAAGCAATATATGCACTCAACTGTCTACCTGAAAGAGTTGAAAAATGAGTCATCTGAGCAGCCAACACCATCTTCCACAGCCCAATGACAATGTTCTCCAGGTAGGTCTTGTTACCTGTCAGTTCAGAAGCACATATCAAGGTCTTCTGTTTGTATAAATAGCATCAATCACTGGCCTGTCACATAGCTTGCAGCTCCTTGTATTCTCCAGCGGTCACTCATTTGTGTACTGACAAGGCTCAATGTTTCTTAACTTTGGTGGTCAGATGAGAACTGGTGTTTTAATGTGATATAGTCATAAGCAGTCAACAATGACTTCACTTTCCACTCTCAATAAAGTTCAAATGCTTCTCTGTATCCTTGTAGGTGACAAATTATTTCCTACCCTACAATCACTCTCTCACAGACAAGACATTGTAAGCCCCTCACTTCTCTATCACTATTTCTATGGAGCGTGTTCAAAGGAACTATGCTCCTTAGTTCTACCAGTCCTAACCTTCACAGCATGTGACACTCATTGTAGCAAACCACCTTCATTCCCTTCATATTCCTTTGGTCAGATTTAGCTTCTTCCCAAGAACTACTGCCTTGTGAAACCGACTTCCAAGAGGCTGCTTCCCTGATTGTTACAAGCTTAACCTGTTCAAATCCAGTGTTAACCATTACCTTCCACACATATCTGTATAACCTGTAATCTCTACTCCCTGTAACCCTCTACTTTAAGTGGCCCTTGGGCTTTGTAGAGGGTGAACATCATAATAAAAAAAAAAAAAAAAAAACCATCAAATACAATAAAATGCAAGATACACATGGCAGGATGTTGACTGATGGGTTGAGTGACACCATTTTTTTTGAAGAGATGGTATTCATTCTTGTCAGACACTGGCAGTCCCAGTTTTGCATCACCTGTTAACACCTGTGGTTTTCTCATTCTGTTGTTGTGTATCTGCATTCAAATATTTCTGGCATACCCTTGCTACTGTTGTAAAAAAAAAAAAAAAAAATTTCTTGCCCTAGTCAAACCGTATTGAATCATGTTTGTAACCCATAGCTGCCACAACTACTCAACCACTTTACCTATCGTCATACGTGTCATCCAGCTGAATTCATTTCTACAAGAAATGTAGGACCAAAACCATCCTGTATACTAATGTTTCTAATTTCTTTTGTCAACAGAAATTATAAAGTAATTTCTATTCATACTGTTCCAACTTTTATCTAAGTAAACATTAAAATTAATGCCCCATTAGTGGTTTCTAATCAAATCTCCTTTGCCTACATGCAATTTTTAGTCATTGATTTGATTATTTGCAATTGTAAGAATAGTTCTTTTTTCAGCAAATATTGTATTAACAATTTTGGAATAATAATAATAATAATAATAATATCTTTCCAGATAATTTTACTATTTAACTCATAGCTGAGGCTTGATTGATTTGTCTTTTTTTATGGCTTATCAAACCATTATGGGTTATTTTAAGTTTAAACACATTTTGTATTCTAGAGATTGGTTACAGTACCTGGTGTTCACAAGCGGTCCAAAATCTAAGTACTGACTGGGATTTCACCAAACAAGAACTGGTGTCTTCAGCATGGTTTGATTGATTTGCTTTTTTATGGCTTATCAACTTCTTGAGACTATTTAAATTCAAAAGCTTTCTTGGGGATAATAATGACTTTCAGATACAAGCCTTAGTATTTAACCCATAGCTGGGAGGAGGATAAGAGGTGGATTCATATCTTCCTCAAGAGTATTTGTATGTAAGTAAATGTATCAAACCTGACTGGAATTCGAACACAGCTTGCTGAATTTTCATTCCAAGCCGATATCCATTACACCATCTACACATCCAAATTTCACATCAAAAAAATAATGCATGAAAATGAGACACTCATTGTCAACCTTCCCAGAAGTAACAGCTTTTGGTTAATTGGCTGGTTGATTCTGCTTAGCAGCATATCGTCCTCTATGGGTTATTTAATGCCGAAATCTTAATATATAATTGTATGCTTTCGACTATAGATAAAATGTATTGTTGGCCATTTTGCTATAAAATGTATTGTTGGTAATTTTACTATAAAATGTATTGCTGGCCATTTTCTTAAAAAATATATTGGTACTAATTTTACTATAAATAGGCATTGTTAGTAATTATTTTATATAAAAATGCTATTTTTATACTTTTGTAGTATTTAGTTTTTGTTTGGGGATTTACTATTTGCCCATAGCTGGGACCCTGACAGGTGCTACCACCTTGAGTCTGGGTGGACCTGGAAACAATAGCAATTTAGAGGCAGTTCCACTACTCAAAACCTCCAATGTCTCAATCAGAGGCCTTGCTGCCAGATGTAGTTTATCATCATACCCACGACTCTTTTTCTCACTACTTTCTGCACAATTAAAGTAGTAGAAACAGTTGTTCTCTTAAGTGCTTACTCACTGATTTATCCATCGTTCATTATGACATGCCAGTGATAAGACAAAAATTACTTTCATATTTAATAATGTGATAGAGTACAAAGGGAATTGGATTCATGCCTTTCTCAAAAGGCATTAGTAGAAAGTGAACAACAATATCCCAAGACAGAATTTGAACCTAATTTGTATGTTCAAATTTCCTTGCAGAAAATTATTTTATGTTTAATCTTCAAATTTAATGAATTAAATTAAAAGCTCAAAACAAATGCAAGATAATCTTGCAGATCAAAATTTGAATTAACTGAAGACATGCAGTAACGTTGTGTTCTCAGACCTCAAATCTACAATCATCTATGACAAAATTGACCAAATTGCAAGCTGATTTAATTTTACAAAATTACAAATCCACATAATTTACAAAAAAATAAAACAAAAATATATTTGCATTTATATCAGCACACAATTTTGCAATATATTAACAGTGAGTCCAGATTAATTTTGAGATAACTATTTGGATCTGGGCAATAGAAAGTAACCTTGCTTTTTAAGAAAAATGTTGATATTACTGAAAAACATTGAAATTTGCAAATAAATTATAACATAGAGAAATTATGACTTTCTTTTCTCAAGGCAACTCTAAAAATTAAGCAACATTGATAAAATAATAAAGAAAAACAGAATCCTGGTAATTAACATTTTTCCACTGATTATTAACATTTATGAAAGAGGAAACTTATATTCCAGAAACATAGACAATAACATTTTACAACTGTAATGACCTTTATTTAAGATGATAATGAAAGGTAGAGCACAAGACAAAAGGCTCTTTGATCTGAGGTTTTATTTCTGCCCTCATCATAATAAATGTAGCAATGAGAATAAAAACATATTGATCCATGGTCAGTGTTTGAACAAAGATAAAAGCTAGGATTTGGAAGGCAGGGTTTTCCCATTTGTAAGACTGGGCAATGCTATCTTTGTGACACCATTTACTTCAATCTGACCTTGTGTTACTCTAAGTGCAACAAATATCAAAACCCAATTCTTCTTCAATAGTAAAAAAATAAACTTTATCTACTGAGGGGCCTTATCAAACTTAGGGACTTATACCGTTTGTTTAACCTGTGGGTACTGGAATAGGTTTTTAATGAAAAATTAACTTTTTCTTCCCCTTTCCAGTGTTGTTATATCTGAAGTTATTCGCACCCTCCCCTATGAAATGCAAGGGTACACACTAGATCAGTGTCTTCCAACACATTTGCTCCATGGACCAGGTGTCATGTAAGACAATTTTTACATGGATAGTGTGGGGAGGTATTGTCAATCATGTGCATAACAAAACACAAACAAGACCGTAATAGTCAATAAAATGGAAAAAAAAAAAAAAAAAGATTTTATTCTTCCTGTGCAGCCCAGTACCAAATGGTCAGCAACCCAATGGTTGGGGAACACTGTACTAGATAATGTCAAATGCCAATAATAGCAATAAATTATTATAATTACCATTTTATTTTTGGTGGAGAGGGGGGCGGTTAAATACAAAAGTGGGAGAGGAACAAAATAGTGAAATTGTCAACAAGTATGGGCTTGGATACACGTAATGTATTCAGAGAAAAAATGGATTCATTGGTGCACAACAAGCAAGTAAAACAAACAGCTAGTTTGAAGAAGTGCCAAGACAATTATTGATGTAGAAAAGCTCAGGAAGAAACAAAGAACCATTGACTATCCTTTATCCAAAATTCCAAAAATCTCTAAAATTCAAAAGATTTTCAAGTGTTGACATGACTTATCACAAATGGAAAATTTCAGAAAGCCCAGCTATGTAGCCTACATTGGTGCCAGTTTCCTGTTAGTGATCGTCACAGCAACACCTTCGTTTATGGATTACTTACCAGGTGTTTCATGCTCAGTAAAGATATTATTCAAAATGTCAAAAAGTCTTGCATTTACATATTTTTTGTACACATATAGAAAGTACAAAACATTATTTTTACATAAAATCTTAATTTCACCACTTAAAAATCCGTGTGGGCATTACATGACTAGCGTCATTACCTGTATCTGTATGTACACAAACATTTATTAAATTTTATATAAAACTACTTTCAGGGTATATGTATAAGCTGTGTTATGAAATGTAAAGGGATATAGTGTTTATGCTTGGGTTCCATTCCCAGGTTGCCCCAATTTATAGATGCTATATACAAATTAAATAGCCTGTATTCCAAAATCCAAAACACTTCTGGCACTAAGAATTTCAGATAAAGGATTCTCAACCTGTACTGTACTATAAAACCTATCCAAGTACCAATTTTGGAAGTTATCACCTGCCAGTTACATGCAAAGTAAGGATAAAATTACAAAAACATGCTAATTACAAAATCGAACAAGTACAACAATGTAAATATCTGTTAAGTGTTTTAACAGAGGACAGAAAGTGTGACAATGAAAGCACACTGGAATAGTGAATGGTGCCTTTCAAAAGCTAAGCTAAGTATTAAGAAACAGGAAAATTTTGTTAGAAACAAAGCAAAGCATACTAAACTGTTATATAACATCAGATATGGTAGTGAATGCTGAGCAATCTCCTCCCAGACAAAGAAGAGACTTAAAGCAACAGAAATGCAGTTCTACAGAAGGATGTTGAAAATACCATGTACTGAAAATGTGAGCAACGACAAAGTTTTATATAAAATGTAAAGAAAAAGGACACGTATATGTAATATCAGAAAGAAAGAGGTGAAATTTCTATGGTACATAATGAGGAAAGAGGACTTAGAAAATTTGATACTCACAAGATCAAATAGCATGAGGGATAGAGGAAAACAACATATAACCTGCCAAGTGAGTTTCAACAAATGAAAGGTAGCACAGGA